AATATAATTATTATTCGACAAAAGTCATAGTATTCTCAATTTTGACAGATTGTTGAGCCTACTTCATTATGTCTAAACCGTTTTATGTGCAACTTATATAGGTTTCATTTAAACATGTGCTATATTTTATTTTATCATATTCTCTTAAAATGAATCAGTAAAACATTACTGAAAACAGTGAATATACACTGATTTGCAGTTATAAGTGTTGCACTGAAAGTGCTCAGTGCTATACTTATAACTGATATCAGTGATTATTCACTGATTCATTTTAAGAGAGTAGTTGACGGAAAACATAATCACGCATATGTAAAAATTTTGCTGCAAATTTCTCGTATATTTCACAGCTTCAAAATTCAATTATAAAAATACAGCAACGTTCTTTGAGAAGTTTTTCTGAGAGGAGCAAACAGCTGAAACGAAAGTACTCGTGCCAACTGTCATGTCCGATGATATCCTTGACTGTTGCTGGTGACACGTGGAATATTCCGCCTGGGACGAGCGTGTTGCTCATAACAAACAGGAACGTGGTGTCTCTGTTATTGAAATAAATCCTGCCGTAATCATCGTCAACACTCTTGAAGGGAATCTGGAGGGATCCCAGTAGCGGGAGCGAGTGGTTAAGAGGCAGTAGAGAAAGATAAAGAGGGACGATTGGACCCGTTCGCGATCGGCCGCCGCGTGCCGCCACCCTAAGGATTAAGCGCAATTATTGGAATCACTCCGGCAGACCACAACCCGTTTCACACGCTCCTTATACCCTTCCGAGCTGCTACGAGAGCTTACTTTGTTCGTGATGTCTCGAAAATTCCAGACACAGGCGCGAATTTCAAGTATGAAAGATGGAGGATTAGTTGAGAAAATTACTTTTCGCGTCAATTGGAAGCCCAACGATGATTTCTAATTAAATTATAGTTGAATATTTAAAAAAGAATCAAACAAGATATGGTACATTTCGTGCTCCGAAAAATGTAAATTAGGTACGATATTGTGTAACTTGTGTATTTATCTTTTAGGAATATCGATCTCTCTTTTCCTCGTTGTGAAATAATTATGGTACTTGGGTGTAATTGAGCGTGCGGCGCAACGACTGCAATAAAGTGTCTAATGTTTAGTGAGGGAACATTAATTGCGTTTTGCTTAATAATCGGGATTCGTGACAAGTTAAATACCAGGTATAAACAAGATTTCTTTAACGTTTAATCTTTCATCAATTCTCACAGTTGACTTCAGTTCATCTTGTATTAAGTGAGAACAATAAACTTTTGTCATTTAAATACAATTCGTAGAACATATCTCGTGGAGATTTCTGCATCGTAATTTTATTAACGCTGTGAAATTGACAAAACGTTCAATTTTCAGTCATCCCTAAAAAATCGTAGATGACCGATTTCAGGGAGAACTTGTAACACCTTGTATATCGTTCGAATTCGTGCAGCTAATATATATGTATTTATGTATTCATGTAGCTAATTTCCAGCCGACTGAAGCCACAAAAGTCAACCGCCTCTCTCTTTTCCCTCGTGTTACCTCGACGAAAGAAACGTGACACTCGATAGCGCCGTTGCGAAATCCGCGAACGAAAAACGCGCGTTTCAACCAGCCGCATTTATATCGCATTTATATCACAAGGCATTAGCCTTGTGATTAGCCACACAAAAGCCAGGCGGAGGTATGTGCATTCAATATCTACGAATGAATTGCCAAGCGTTGCACTTTTCTCGACCGCGTTGCATGAACTAGTTCCGTTTAAACATACAGTTATAGCAACGCTTTTTCCTCGCCGCAATTCACCGACGTTCTTACTGCTCTGGATATTAAACGCCTAGGAATTCTCCTCAAAGAAAGAAAGATTTTGCTACCCATTTCTAGATTTTCAGATTCTTCCTCTCTTTCTCTCTGGTATCTCTGGCAGCTATTGAAATACGTTACAGTCTTTTAGATCTAAAGAACAAAGTACGCTAGACCCTCTCTAAAGCATTCTAGCTGCATAATCATCCATGACTCCAAATGTCATGCAATGCATTTCGTTTGCAAAATATCATCTAGCATTTTTAATTACACTTTGTGCGGGTCGCTGCTTTCTCCAGTCAAGATTATTCAGGGTTTAGGTGTTGTCTTTAACTCGGTTTATTTTTCCATAAACACATCCGCATTATAATTTTCATTAGCCTTAAATTTGTCAAAGTTTATTCAAAGGATTTTGTTACACTTTAAAAATGTAAGAACTCTGAGAATGAATTCTGAGAGTTCTTTATATTGCATTAATTCGTTCTAGATTCAAATACTGTTATTTAACATAGACTCTCTAATTTGATAGTCATAATCTGATTGAGCGCGTGCAACTCAAGTTTTTTAGAGTTGCTGCATTTAATATGAATAAATCAATTTCAATCTTTTAATATAATTATCAATCCCTCGTGTTGCACAACCTTGGTTGTCTTGCTTCCTGGCTTCCTAATATCCGTTTCTAACTTTGGTTAACTTACCGGTTCACAGTATTCCAATAAAATTGACCAATTATATAAGTCTGGATTGACAGGTATGATTGATCAATTTCGTTAGAGTAATCAGCCAGTTAAACAAAGTTAGTAGAACGCCCATAAGAGGAAGATTATTACGGAACTTCTTTTTGTGCTTACAAAATTTGCAATCTTGTTGATTATCCTGATATCTTAGAATGATATAATTATAATTTAATATTCGTTCCGTTATAAATCTTTTTCAATTTTTTATGTAGAAAAACATAATATCTCTTATGCTAAATTTAACTGTTTCAGTAGACTTTGCATCTTAGCTAATAAATATCTACCTAGAATGAACTTCTTTAGCGGAATGTCTTTATCGTTTAAATCATCCTTTGTCGTATTATTTTTTAATTTAATTTATAATTGATAACTATTGTTACTTGTTATTATTGTATTCTTACGATTATATTTCACGTTTTGTACAACCAAAAGTGTTTTCCAGTAAATAATTAAATAAATAAATAAATAATGATATCGTCAAACTCCGTGCATAAAAACGCTTTGAAGCACTTGAAGAATTAAAAGGATCGCGCCCTAAATTACAATTCATTTATAATCCTCACAAGTCCTTACAAAAACGCATTGTACAACATTATATTGTATTGCAAACATTATTTGGGAATTTTGAGAGCAACGCTCAATTTCTATCTCCACTTTGTACCGTCAGACATTTTGAGAAAATCCCTCAAATCGTTAAACTCAGCCTTGCAGCTTTGTCGACGAATTGCCATCACTCGGTGAACGCATTCCACATGCGCACACGTACACGTGGTGTCACAGCTTAACCGCTCGTCACATACGTCACCCCCTTGGATGCGGCTTGGGTTTTGGCTTGCTATAACTCCGATAATTATGTTACCAATGCGTCGAAGGACAAAGAGCTCTCAAGCGTCATGGATGGCTCGCTTGCTCGCAAGCGCGAACTAAAAGAGAGATGGTTGCCTGGTAGCCCAGCTGCCGGTAATCCTCCCTTTGTAATTTGTCTCTATGACCCCCCTCTCCTCTCTACAATGGCGTCGATTTTCCGGGTAGATTTTACCTGGCGTCCCCGAGCGATCTTTTCGACTGTCAATATGTCGCTTTTATCATAAAATTTATTTTATTTCTGCAAGAAAGATATTTACGTAACAATAAACATATAACCAACAATATAAAATTAATTACACGATTAAATTAAATAAATCTACTATTTAAATTGACTCTCTGGCTGGACATTACAAATATCACTGAGAACTGTGTGATTGCTCAAAATAATTATCTATTTACAAGGGGAGAAACGATAACATTGTCTCTGAGCAGTTCAAAATATAATCACGAATATCCCTCTTCCCCTCCTCCCTCTCTCTGCAATAATTTAATTTAATAATTCAATTTTCAACTTCCTCTTTGCAAATCAGTGGAGCGCTCAGAATTCGCGAAGACTTCTAAGTGGTCTACGCCAATGACGGGCGGTTGATGTCACCGTGGTCGTGCCCTCCGGATAATAGAGTCCGCGACTTTAATGGACTCGCTAATCCTCTTCCCTGTTTGTCGGCGAGGGGGCACGCATTCACGGGATGCATGGAGGTAAGAATCGCCGATGGGGTAGGACGGGGTGGTGTGACTGCGGTACGTGCGCCTCTCTAGGGTGTGCGAAGCGAGGACTGCATTCGCGCGGGCCGTCACGGCTTGAAAGGGGGTGACACGTAAGGGAGGAAAGAGGAAGGGAATGATCTCCGGCCTGTCCTGCCGGAGTGATGACGTGGAGATACGCCTCTTGTGCGGAACCATCGGTGCGATGATACCCTCGGATTTCTCGGCTGAGCTATGCCGCGCGTTATGCGCGAGCATGCTCCGTATTTGTCGATAGAGAGAAATATGTTGTCGACAGACTCGCCTAATAGAGCCATCGCGATGAGAGATAACAGCTTTCTACCTACATTGACCGCTCGCCTTACAAACCCGAGACAACCTGGGACAGCCCTGCGGGCACGCGCCGAGAGATATTACTTCGAAATCGTTTGGGCATTTGTCTAAATGTATATCTATGTAAATGATATATTAAGCAAAGGTGTTAAAAGGGTGCATTATTAAACGGCAAACATGCGTATTGATCCATAAGAAGATGTATAGGACTTTTCCAGAAAAATATCTAAAAATAAGAAATGTTTTCGCACTAATAACATATCTACTTGTACTAATATACATATTTTTACGTTGAGAAAAAAATTCTTTCAAATGAGAAACATATATTTTCTTAAAATGATCCCTTTTCATGAAGGCAATTGTTTATTCTACTCAGACAAAAATAAATTTGATTCAAGTAAGTTATTAAAAATACCCACCGAATATATTATATTTTAATTTTTTTTTTATATTTTTTCTCTTGGCGTATGAACTTTAAAGTTATGGTTAAAGTGTGATAGTTTAAAGTAAGTTTAATTCGTATAAATGTTATGGAAAAGATTGACAAAAATTTATTCATGTGAGGTGTTTCTTTTGACAAGTTTATTCATATGAGATGTCTCTTTTGACTTTACATGTGCAATACACATATTCCAAAATCTACAAATCAGTATGAAAATCTCAGCGAGTTTTGTTTATACATGAAATGAATAAACTGACATGAAATGAGAATAGAATGAAATAAATGATGGAAGCATAACACAAATTATCATAAATACAACTTTTTCAAATGTTCAACGTTTTCTTTCACGGCTGTTAAGAAAGCAAGAAACACAGATTTCAGTACTTTACTATCGATTTATCATTATTTTATCTTAATGTGAGTTAACACGGACTTGCAAAAGATATTTATACAAATAAAAAATTTACTAGTAATGACCTCGTATTTTACATTCCGCTATCCGTTTAGGAAGGACGTCGCAATGCATTACGAATTCTTCGGCTACGGAATCAGATGATAAGCAATGAATGTGATGATACATGACGGATGATACGATCGGTGGAAGCGGCACGGAAGCGGATACAATACGATATCGACGTTGATATCTGTAGATGATCGATTATCCTTGATGCGGAACTGAGTTAGGCAAGTTCTGCTGGAGCTGTACGAGCTGTTGAAGATGCGGCGGCAGATTATTGGAGTACTGATAATTGGACGAGGCGATTTGCTGCGTTTGCGGCTGTGGCTGCGGCTGTGGTTGAGGATAATTGGTGCGGTACTGGGGATTGTACTGCGACTGAGCGGAAGGTGGCGGCGAATACTGGGCCGGTCTTACGGGAATCTGCTTGTAACTCGGCTGCGGAGGTGCTTGGCCGACCTGTATTTTCGGCTGATACTGAGACAGCTGGCCCTGAGTTATAACCTGAGGCTCGATAGGCTTGGAGGGTGACAGATTTGGCACTGGCTGCGGCGGAAGATGGACGATCGGCTCACGAGCCAGCTGAGACGCTAATATCTGTTTGATCGCTGCAGGAGCCTGGTTAAAAGCTCGTACGTTTCCGTGTTGCCTCCGTACACGGATGTGACCTGCGAGAAAACAATAGAAAAGATGTAGATTACGTTATAATTTCAACAATAAGAAAGAAAATATTGTCGAAATAAAAAAAAAATATAAATATATATAATTTCTTGGGTAACGTACAAGGAAGAAAAAGTATTGTTGGAACGAAAAAAGTTTATCTAATATATTGTTACTTACTATGAATTTCCGTTCCTAGCACGGGCGCTACGATGAGTATTAATAACTGAAACATGATAAAAAAATATTATTTATTTCTAATGATAATGCTCTCATGCTCTGATAAAGAAAAATGCATTTCTCTCATATAAATATTCTCGACAGAAATCAGGGGAAAGTGAAATTTTTCATGTACACAATGTGTAACACAACAAACGTCAAAACTATTTTAGAAAATACTACGTTGAAAAAGTATGACCAATAATGCAAATGCAATCTCTTATCTTTGCGACGATTGTTAATGCACTAACACGACGAGTCGTGTCGCGTGAATTAAAAAAATGCATTCGAAAAATTTGAAAGCGTACGACACATGTTTAATTGAGTTTGATTTATACCAGAAAAACTGAATTTGATTCATTCTCAATTGAACTCGATTCATGTACAATTCTCTATGTATGACGTCACTATGTGTGACGTATCACTATAATAATCTCACACAATGATGCTTGAAAGAAAGAGACGCTGCTGATTTTATATCGGGTTCGTTTCTCGCAAGTTGTAGCTAATCTAACGACTTTTACGACGTGCAATTTTAGACCATCGAACCCTGACGACTCATCTTACGAATAGATCATAACAGGATACACGAATTTTTAGGGAAGGCAAAGAAATCCTCAAAAGAAAAAGCCGCATTTGAAAACAAAAGAGAATCAACATAGGTCGGAGGAACAATAAAATTTCGTATACGTTTCTTCTTAGGTGTTTCTTTTGTCACTACAATGATTCAACGTATCGGAAGTTAATATCTTCGAAGAGGCAAGAGAAGACCACCAGACGTGCGCCGATACTGGATTCTTGCCGCTATGTTTAGAAAAATAACGTATTTACTTCGGGGAACAGTTCGCCGTGTTTGACGCATGTTACATTTTCAACTTTTTACATCCGGCATTCGGTGTTCAGCGCGCGACTTTTCACACGGCAATTAATCGAGTAATCGTACTGCTTCCTTCCCTGACTTCCCTGACTAACGGGATAAAATCACAGCGATTTTTACGATCAGCGTGAGATTGGAAAGCAAAAGAGAGCACTCGCTCGAACATCGACGCGATTCCGCGAAACAGCTTTAATCGCTCGGCGCACTTTCTCTCTGTGAGATTTCGCGGGACTCCTAGGGTCGCGAGCGAGCGAGCGACCGATCAATCGATCGATCGATCGATTGGTCGACGCGGTCGCAAGAACTTACGAGGAATCTCATGATGCTGAACGATGATATCCGGAGGGCGGCGGGACAAAACTGGCGGCCGCGTCGCGACGCACTTCTATAAGGACCCAGCCGTCGCGGGCCCAACCGCGTTGTCGGCCACCACCAGCTTTCACGGTTGGTCGGGTTTCGAGCGATTTTTTCGCGTGCAGGTCTCCCGCCCGCCGTCACGTAACCCACTGCAACGAACCAATGCGTCCCGCACAACGCTGCCGCAATAGAGCCAGGAAGTGACCGGGACGGTGGCTACACTAGAAAAGCCAGAACGCGAGGCATATGCGTTTGTCTCCTTCGTGCACGAGCTGCTCTCGCGAAACCTACGAAGAATATGGGAATTTTGCCCCAAGCTTTCGCTCGGCAGAATTTCAGGTTGTATCGGAATAATGCATTGCGATACGTAATCGGGCTACTACTGCTCGGAATTAGTCGGAAAAGTTCGCTATCGGCCCGCGCTCTTAATAAGTCGATTTCAGATTCACCAGGAAGTATTTTCTCTGGCAGCATTTTCCTTGCCTGGGGCGAGCCGCGAGTTCTACCGTAGGTATGATATAGTGTATAGTGGACTATCAGATGCGAGAGGATATGAATCGCGATTAACAAGATCCAATTCAAGATCGTATCGGGCTGTTTATGTAATTTTGCATTACATCGTAGATTACGGCGATACTGTTACGTGAAAGTGACTCTCCTTTTCCTCTTTATTTTCATTACGACTGTATCGAATCTCTAATTTTATAACCGCTTTTTATTACTTCGCGCTGTTTTTCAAGTCCTTGATTACAGAAAATAAACAAAGAAATTATCATGTATGCTATATTATCGATATGCTATATTATCGATTATTTTGTGATACCTGCGAAATTGTTCGTTACATGCGTTTCTCTTCTCTCATTAAAAACGAGTTACAGCTCTATTATATGATTGTTCTTATACTCAAACATTGCTAACGTGATTATTTGTTATTGATCGTTGCATCTTATTACTGTTGAAAATTTTCAAAGTGATATTTCACTCGAAAAATGGAGTGACAGCCGAGTCACTCGAGTTGGAATAATTTCTCACTCTTATGAAGAGAATTTCTTCACCTTGTATCGCAAAATGAATTCTTTTACTTTACATTGTGATTTTAGCAGTACATATTACGGAATGGTCGAATTTTACTGCAACCGTTATGTCGCCATTGTGTCACTTCTTTCAATCTAATTTTTTATATTTTATAGAACGTATTTTTAAGCTACTTTATTTCTCTCTTAAATATTGTTAATGAGAGAGACATTTAAAAACTTTACTCACATTTACGTGATAATATTATATTTCTATTATAAAAGATATACATGTGGAATTCCTTGTAGGATTCAGAATTATATATAGACAATACAAAACATTTATCGATTAAGACAAGATAGTACAAAGTATAGCTGACTCCAAAATAAAGAGTCTAGACTTTGATTCAGTTAGGTGGTAAGCGTATTTTTTCAGATGCAATATAAATGTAATGGATTTAGTTTAGGCACATAATCAAAGAGATCTTAAACAAAATCATGGATTTATAATTTTTTTATTTATATTATATGGATTTACAGTTTACTTATTGTATATATTATTTTATATATACTCTAAACGAGAGTGAAAATTCACTTTAAGAAATTTATATATATATATATATATATATATATATATATAAAGTATTTAAAAAAAAAACAAAAAATTTTAAAAAATTTTCTAGAATTTGATATTTGGCGTGCAATTTTTATTTTATAATTCACGAGAGTAAATACATTCCTTTTGAGGAGTACAATCACAAACTGCATTTTGTTAATATGCTTCATGTTGCATTATAAAACGTTATCTTAGAGAGCTATTCGCCTCGTGGCTGTACCTCGCGGGTGTGCATTTGCAAATTCCAAGTCCGCGATAGAAACGTGGCATTCCGCGCGCGAAGGTGCACGCTAATAGATATCGTTATAATAGAAAGGGCAATACGCGCGTATCCAATCACGTAACGGTGAAGCCGGCTGATTCAGGAAACGTATGCACACGCGGCTTCCGTATTCGCTCGCGAGCCGGTAAGCTGGTTCGCAGCGCTGTTTAAGTGCATCGCTGCAGCAGAACGCAGTGTCGCGCTCTGCAGATTTGTTGAGGATCATAGCGTGAAATTGAACTATAATACGTTTGCTGCATGTATTTCAATTAACTCGACTCAATACCATTCATTTTCCGACGCGACGATCGTCGGGGAAACTTTATCATTTGCATGGTCATCAAAGAGATCCGTGAGAGCACGCGTGGGTGAACATGTGCAATTTATCTATCTGACGTTGTCGAGTCGATATATAAGAAACGTATTGGATACTTTAATACATAGGAATGTATTAAAGTTTGCTTTCGCTCAAATGACTAATAATATGCAATAGTATATAATGCCGCACTCAACACGCAGCGAAACGCCATTGAATTTAATGGAGGAGTAAAGTCCTGGAAACGTGGGAACGACGCGATTATCGGCTATCTATCGCGATTTTATCGCTAATCGCGTACACATATTCATGCGCCAAGATTGCGCAAGAAATTCTGCATTCCTCTCTTAACATTCGGAATTTGCTCCGATGCCGTTATATTTAGCGGCGCTATTCTTGATCGAGCACGAGATGAATAGATTAAATTCCGATCAGAGCTTGATTAAACCCGACTAGGCGCGTGCAAAAATTTTAATTTTGTAATTTGCATAGTCACACATTTATACAACCGGAAAATTGAGAACAAATGAGAAGATTTCTCTGACGAGTTTATTGTCAATTTCTCTATAAGGAAGAATTAAGTATTTTACTGCAGAGAAACAAAAACGCAAACACAAACCAAAAGTTCAATTCACCCTATCAAATTCAGTCAATCTTATTGTTCAAATGAGTTTCGATACGTAGGAAACTATGCTAGTTTGACAAACGCCAACTTTGAAGGAAGCAAACAAGCGAAAGAGATAGATATACCCTCGCAAATATTTTATTTGAAAAACGTGTAGGTACAAAAAAACTATAAAATTAGATAAACGCACAACAGACATCTGAATTCCGCGTACGCATCTCAAGATTCGTACGAGTACATCGATGCATTTGCGTGGCGAGTGCAACTATTGACTTTGTCGTCTCACTTTGTGTGTGTGTGTGTGGGTCGAAATTGCAAGAAAAAAAAAAGTTAATTCTTGAACGGCACTCGCTCTCAAACTCGGCCTCGGTATTGTCGAGACTTTCGATCGATAATGTACTTTCTACGTGCACATTCCACGTCAGAAAGTGTGAGATATTTTCCATTGATTGAATAGAAACTCTAAACGAAGGAGTAATCACAACGACGAAGCATTACTTCAGTGATTTCAAGAAGTAAGAAAAGTAGGTCTGTTTATTTTTACAGTAACATATGAATATTGTAAACCTGCTCGCTGACTAAGATACTTGAATAGCTACACAATTACATCATATATATCGTTTAAATATCTATTACTTAACGAATATCCGCGGGCTGCATTAAATAGATCGCTTCCTCATCGTTTCTACTCCAGCAGGATCAAACAAATAAAACCTCGAATCAACCCATGAAATTGCACTTTACAGCAATTGTTACTTATAACCTTCATCGATAACACATTTGATCTCTCTTTCTCTCTATAATTTGATATTTAATTAAGAGATTTATGAAGTAACAATCACACGGGGAGAATATTCCTTTTTCCACGTGATAGTTCCACGAATAGTTCCTTTTTACACGTAAATTCTTTTCTATTTTATTATGTCTCTAATGATGCAGGAATAGACTAAGATCTATCTCGCGAAAGAACATAATAAATTTTGCTAAAAACATAGCAAATTGCTTAACATTTCAGCTCCTAAAGTATAAACAGCGCATGCGAAATGAAAGGAGGATAGTCAATTACTGAATACAGAATGTCGATCTATTTGTCGGTTACAAAATTCTACAGTAATTTCTACTATCCTCTCCGTGTAGGTATAATCAACTTAGTAGTGGAACTTGTTGAAAAATTTGATTCTGCCGGAATAGAGACTTGCTCCGATCGAAAGAAACGGAAAATATAATAATAGCGACACACCGCCGGACCGATCGATCAGTACTGATTCTCGGTCACAGGTCGTACGCCAGGCTGCTGCTGCTGCTGATTGTAGCCAAGTTGCTGGCCCTGGTTGTAGCCGGCCACGCGAGCCTGCGTGTAAGCGCTCGCCTGGCCCTGGTACCCGCCACCCTGACCTTGATACTGCGCCTGCTGCACCGGCTGTTGCTGCAGTTGTTGCGGCGGTTGCTGCTGCGGTGGGCTTACAGATTGCGGTACGTAAGGCTTGTCGGGTCCACGATAGGAGACTTGATTAGCGAAGATATTGTACGGCGTTTGCGCTTGAAATTTTAGCAATTCCCGCAGTTGCGTCGGCAGGTTGGTCGAATATCGTGGTTGGGGTTCTGTCGGCAGCTGAGACACCCTGCGGTACTGCGGTTGTTGCGCCTTCTGAGGATTCGCCTCACGCTTATGTCTTGAGGGGCCGCGCGGTCTGTGACGTGGTTCCGGCGCGGGTGCGGGCGCAGGCGGAGGCGGAGGCGCAGATCCAGGTGGCGGTTGGGCTACTATGTTCCGGTAGTGCTCCCGAACTTGCTCAGCCTGAGCCTTTATCGCCGCCTGTTCGTCGAATCTGCGAATTGACCGCGAATTGGTTCAAGCTACCCGCGCGCTCGAATTCAATCCTTGTTGATAGATACAAATATTTCTTCAAGAAGACCGTGTCCTTGTAACTGATTTTAGTAAACTAACGAAAGAAATTGTAGGACAAGATTGTTTGCAGAATCAGATATTGATAAAGTATTCCATACCAACTGCCAAATATCAAAATAACGGATGAGTCAATAATCAAAATGATTAGAAGTCAAACCGAGACGAAAAACCCTTTGTCATTTTCTAATATGAGCAACAGTTAACGAGTTATTAATTAATTTAGTTTGATGCTTCACGCTCACAGATTGATGGAGCACAGATAATACCGCACCGAAAAAGTGCGAACCTCCGTCTTTTAGATTAGTTTCGCATTTTTTGGCGTACGGCGCTACTTGTGCTCCGTCAATTATAGAGCGCCAAATATCAAACTTAATTAATTGATAATTCATATTAAAAAATGACAAAGGACTTTTCATATCAGTTTGATTACTACTATCTGCCATTTCGATATTTGGCGATAATATGTGATATTCTGTGTGCATTTATATGCAAAAATAAAAGAATAAAAATAAATAAATATAGAAAGGAATGCAACATACAGACGTAATAAAGATAAACGCTTGCGTTTGTAAAATCCTCTAGAGATAATGTAGTGCTTTGCATACAGATTAATAGGACACAAGTAGACATTTGAGAGTGCAACATTCATTCAACGAGTTTGTCACCTGTAAGGTTCCGGAATCACATTGATATACGGAATTTGCTGTTGGAACTGGAGCAGTTGCTGAATCTGCGGGGGCGCATTAGCGTAATGTTTGTACTGCGGCTGCGGTTCAGGTGCCTGTTGCGGTCGTGGCACTCGCCGGTGCGCGGCTTGCCGAGTCGGTGCCGCGGGTTGCGGCGCGTACTGCGGTTCCGCTTGCGCACTCGGGCGCGCTTGGCGCTCGTACGACCTCCAGTTCACCCTGTAACCTTTCGATACACACTTATTAGATGATTCAGCGCGAACGCGAAGAGAATGAGCTGCGCGGAGCAACGCTGACGACAATACCGCTGGGATCGTTGTACTGGAGCGACTTCGCGTTACCCTGATTAGGGTCGTACGCTCCTTGAATTGAGGACACGCCCTCATTGGTCGCCCCTTGTATATGGAAGGTAGCCGCTCCACCATCCGAGGGACCCTGAATCTGGAAGTTTGAGTGCCCGTCCGTGGCACCTTGGATTCTGAAATCGCTGTTACCGTCGGTCGCACCTTGAATGGTGAAGTCTCCGGGTCCTTCTGATTCTAAAAGTCGCAAAGACATAAAGATACGATGAGAGGAGAGAATAATATTAGATCCTAATCACACACTTTATGGGATGTTTTAATTTAACTTCTTAGCTGCGAAAGGTTTATTTTTACGTCTAGCATATTTGGTTCAGTATGATGCGTTTAGTTGAAACAATTGCTTTCTTTTTATTAATATACGTTAAATACAATTTTTATCAAAGTTGCTAAAGCTTTATTTTCTAATATATACCCATTTATCTATTACATGAACAAATGTCTTATACGTAGCACGTGAACTACTCGAGCGACTGACTTCGGTGACAAACCTAATAAACGGTGACAAAAGTAATAGTTGTTACTTGAAATTGGTCTCACGTAAAATATTCAGATGTGAATACAGAAGATTCGACTTTTTTTTATTTAAATTGTATAATATATGCGACATCATACATTTGCAATCGCAATTCAACTGTATTAATAGTTGCTATTCAATCTACATTACTAATTGTTACATGAAATTTATCTCATATGAAATATTCCAATTTTTATTTTAATTTTTCTACTCCAATTACAGTTTGTTTAATAAAAATCTTTATTTTCATTAAAAAAATTTTATTTCAAATTTTTCAATTGAATTATGATATATGTGTAATTACTTTATATTGTAATAACTTTATATTTATGTGTAATTAATATCTGTAATTACGATTTATTGAAAAATTTACCTCTAATTCTAAGATCCGTATTAATAGTCGTTATTTGAAACTTGTTTCAGGTAAGATATTTAGATCTTAATTTAAAGTTAGACCTGAATTTCAGTTTTCAGCTAAATTGCAATTACAAATGTAACGTTACATGTATAATTCAAATAAAAAACTTTCATCTAACTTTAAATTCAGATTTGAGTATTTTACGCAGAACAAGTTTCAAATAACGACTATTAATAGGAGCCTATATTCACAAATCTTAGGTCTATATTAATAGTTGTTACTTGAAACTTGTTTCAAGTGAGATACTACAATTTTTATTCAGAGTCAGGTTTTTTCAGTTGAATTATGATAAACGTGACATTTACATTTGTAGTTGCGATTCAATAGAAAATCTCTTATCTAATTTATATTAAAATCTGAGTATCTCATACTTGAGACGAGTTTCAATTAATGATTATTAATACGGACCTAAATATTTTACCTGAAGCAAGTTTCAAATAATGAATATTAATACAGATCTTAGGTTTATATTAACAGTCCTTACTTGAAATCAGTTTCATGTGAGATATTCAGATACTCAGATACTAATTTTAAGTTATTTAGAGTATTTCAGATTTTTTTATTTAAATTATATTCGCAATATTCGCGATGTCATACATATTTGTAGTTGCAATTCAACTAAAAAGCTCACATCTAACTCTGAATTCAGATTTGAATATCTTATTTGAGGTAAGTTTTAGGTAACGACTTTTAATACGGTTCTTAGTAATCGACAAGAGAGTATCGTTCCATACACTGCGGACGATTCGAGCGCACCGCAGCTAAAAGGTTAAATAATATGTCAAGGCTTCGACGAATAAAATATTTTGATAAATTACTTTCTTCTGTTTTTATTCTCCCGATGCTCATTGCCAAACATTTATTTGCCTCTGTTATGAATCTCTTTATAAATCTTTTTATCTTTTTATAAGTTACATGTTATAAACTCTTACCACTCTGATCGGTGTACTCGATTCCTTTCTCTGCGCTGAATTTAAGACCCTGGGCTCGTCGATGCCCGTCACTGGGTCCCTGAATTGAAAACTGGGCCAGGCACATAGGAAGTGCCGTCAGTAATAAAACCTGCAATGTTGAGAATTACAATGATTTGACGCGTTTTTAATGCGCACAATATATAGTTTGATATGGCGCCATAATATAATACTAGATTACTATGACTTATGTAACGGAAATGATTATCATTAAATACAAGATTGAAGTATTACTTGGACAAAAGGGAAAGGAATAGATGGAATAAAGAGATGCATAAAATTATGCATCGATCATGTGTCTTTGGCGAGTTCTACTACCGTATTAATTATAATAATTAATTACATTCCGGAATCTGTGTGTGTATGTGCGCCTTGCTGTCGGTGTTAAGTGCACTCGATTTCGTAATCAGACTCGTGGATCATTATCTAATGTACGTAGTGCTAAACCTGAATCTACTTTACGGCACGCACTATGTTGCACTATATATGGAAGCGTATCGTGCAACCGGCACCGGGAAGCTGGAAGGGAAAGTCACGAGCGGCATGAATCTTTAATCAGCCGGCAGTGTCGGTTATCGGGAAAAGGTGAGCACGTTGGCGCTTAACATTCGCGATGGTAAAGCGTGCTCGGGCCGTAACGCTGCCGCGAGACAAAAAGTAGGTGTGAGAGCAGAAAAAAAGGAGCGAAACACGTGCAGGTCTCTCGCAACTGAGGAGATCAAGCGCGCTGCACGACGCCGGTAGAAAGTGAGATATAAATTAATCGTCTAGACGTGCCCGAGCGATTATTCGGGAAAAAGTCTCGCGAGCCTCTCGGCTTGGGCTCTCCACGGGAATGTTTTCGACCGGCTGTCATGGAACGAAATATCGCCCCGGGATTATTATGCGGGCGACGAATGCTCAGCTGCTTTTATCTCGCATGCGGAACCCCGAGCGACATTTCGCGAGATACAGATCGCGACATGCACGACGGTTACTCGAACCCGCGAGTTCTCTCGATTGAGTGCGCGATGCAATGAGAGAAGTAAACGAGTAAGATACGAGGAAAGTACACAACTTAGTCAAAAAGAAGTCTAAAAAATTAAGTATACGATATTAATAATAAAAAGGCATAATAACCATCAGCAACGAGTGAAATGAGGAAACAGATTTTGTTAAGATATAAAGTAATCTGATTATCTAAAAATGAGATACAAAATGTGTAATAGACGAATACATATGATAAAATTTTTATAATTATTGTTTTCTCCATAAGAAATATTTTGCTTTGATGTTTTATTGTCGCTTGATGTCGCTTGATTTGAATTTCGACTTTTTCATGAAAAGCGAGTATCGTGTGAAGAGTCATCGAGGCGGATCAAGAAACAAGTTACTTTCCACATTGGAATTTCGATCCACAAGTTTGCGGTGAAATTACGAAATCCTGATCGTTCGTATCCGCATTCGATAATTAGGTCGAAACAATCTCGGTCAGTGACCGCGTAATTAAGCGACATTTCGAATTGTCGCCTGCTATACGACGACCAACGATGCAATTAAGTAAGCGACACTCGTCATTCTCTTATACACGCTCGTTACCTTTCGACGGAAGGCAGTGACCGGTATCTCCGGTCACATGAACGGTTTCCCGTTTCTGAGCATTCACGAATGAAGCCTTGCAACGGCGCGTGTCGAGTCTCTCACGGATTTGCACGTATAAGATTGACAGACTAATAATGCGCACAGTGAAAGCTTAAAATGAGTCCACTTAAGTATCACCGAATTTTATCAAAAATAATGAAACTTGCAACAATTGAAGGCACTTGAAACAAAAATCTATAATGCCATTCTACGGTGGTATCCACGATCCTTCACGGATCTGTGATCTTTGTGACAGGATAACAAACGCGGTAAAAAAGAATAAAAAGGAAAAAGAAAGGTTACTGCTATTCAGCATCGCTGCTGAATGAAATTCAATCAACCGAATACCGCATTGCAGCATGTTACAATTAATCGCACGCGACTCTTCACTTCGGAACGTTGTTTTCCCAGCTTTCAACAAGGCGCGATGGTTATCGCAAGGCACACATGTGTAACTAAAGACCTTCACGCGGTACGTCGAGGATATATTTCATACGGTTTGATCGGCAGTTACATCGAGGAAAGAATTCCGGAAAAATAGCAAAATTGCAGGCGCTGACACGGCCGCTCCCGTTAGCCGAACGCACTTAAGATAGACTCATGATTTATCACTCGCATAGCTGAGGTGCACGCAGCGCAATTAAGCGCACGCGACCTCCTTTCGTCTGGATCCGTCGTCGAGAGGAAACGCGACTGTCGCGGAGTCACACGCGGCGCTTCCGTTTTTCGCAAGTGTAACGTGACGCGAGGACACTCGTCGGAAAAAAGCGCAACGCAGGCAGCGTGTACTTACGTGCAATTTCATAGCGAGGTAGCTAGTCGATTCGTTCGAGGGTGGAGTGTTTCTGAGGCGGGCGCGCGGTCACCAGAACAACTTTATAGGCGGCCACGTAAAAGGAACCTTTCGGCGACGGGGATGTGACTCGACGAGAACCACCTCCATGTTGTACCTCGCCGGCCGGCCGATATCGCGGTCCTATAGTAAATGATCTTTGCTACGAGCGTGAGCCTGTTAATGGAAACAGCTTGTAGTGCTGAATACAAATTTTCGATCTCTCTGCAAATTTTACTCAGCTGTACACTTGGAAAGTGCTCCAATTCTAAAAAGAGTGCGGCCAAGCGCCCATAGACATTTCGCCTCTTTAAAAACTTTTAATATTCTCCCTTTAAAAATGTTTGATATTCTTTTAAAAAACTTTTAATATTTCAACTTGCGATACATTGATTTAAAGCTTATGTCGAGAAGATTAAGAATATAAAGTCTCGATATTATTCTCATAGTCAATTGGAAGATAAACAGTCCGAAAGATTACGATTTCAACAAACATACTAAGTCATACTAAGGGTAGCTAGTAATTGTAACTTTTGAATCGTTTATCTAAACAATTACGAGAATAATATTGAAATTTTATATTTTTGATCTGCTTGTCCTAAGCTTCAAATCGATATATAATTTATTAGGATATTCAAAGTTTTACAAAATCCCATGGAAAAGGGACGCAACTTGGCCGCACTTTTTGTATGACACATTGAAAGGAAAGTCTTGTAATAGTTAACAAATGCATTTAGTCGAGCGTTGCAGTATTTGCTAATTAATATCAAATATAATCTACCTTTTAGTAACAATCATGTAACAAGTTCTTCACATATAGTTGAACAAATTAAATGTTTTGATAAATAAGAACAAATAATTTCGTAATAATTACGAAATAATTTAGCCATTATCAAAATATATAGTCATATTTTATATATTTGTCGAGTAATATAGTATTACTAAAGTATTGTAGTATTACTAATGTAATATTACAATACTTAGTATATGTAACTTATGTATTACTAACAATACAGTTTTATTTGACAAATTGTTTGATGATACAAACCACGTCAATTGATTAATTGATAATAGACACCAAGTCACTGATAGTCATGATCTTAAGCCTTGACAAATATCATGTTTTTTCAGATATTTTCTTCAAAAATCAAGAAATTGTTAAGGTTATTTATTAATATCAATAAATTATTTGATTATATTCACTTGTACGTTTATAGTTGAAATTATTTCGACAAAATAGGTAACTATTTTTCAGGCTTGATGATTATTACCAAATCTTTCTTTTAGTATAAGTATTTTATCATGATAACGCGATGCTTTATTACATTTCTATTGTAACCTTTAAAAATAATACTGTGTTTGAAAAATAATATTTTTTGCGTATAAGTATTAACTAACTTTTTCACACAAAATAATTTTTCAGAAATATTTTTTGCACATTAATAATTTAATTCCAGTTTTATAATAAAGAGTTATATCTTGTTTCAGACTAATTCATTGTAATGTTTCATAAAATAAATTCGTTTGCAAATACAGCTCGCATTTCGGTTGACTCAAGTTTTCTTCGTGCTGCGCACGAGGCATTTATCCTCCTACGCGGTGCATTATAATCGCGAAGAGTCTCGAGCGTATCGATGGAAAACGGTGGAGTAGCTGGAGTGGAATGTAACGTTTGCAATGCGAAGTTTCCCAGGCAATTGCCATTCAAAGGTTACAGGTGCGACGACCGCGCGCATCCGTAATTAATCGTCGACATTGAATTCAATCATTGTCCTGTCAAGTTACATAAGGTCCTACACTTTAATTCGCCGCCTTTATAATTGAAACATTGAGAATAATATTGACTCGAGTTATCAATGAAGCATATCTCTTGAGAAGAGGAACAAGAAAACGACACACACTTACAAAGATCGTATTCCAATATCTCATAGCTGTATCGATCTATTGTGACTTCATTAACTGTGTATTGTTACTTTATTAACTGTGTATTGTTACTTTATTAACTGTGTATGACTACAAAGATATAATTAAAAATTATTTATTGGTGATATTATTGCAATATTTTTGCTTTATTATAAACAAACGCGTTCTCTGAGTCTATATCATTTTTAACGCTATATTCTCGGTTTTACATATATATTTTTGGAATTACAAATTGCTATTACTGCAACATGAACTCTGCCTCGTATCGAATATCTCCAGATGCTCCAGATGATTGTTGTACTTATAAATCGTAATAGATCCCCGTTCTCGATACGTATGGATTATGGGAATGTACTTTTGTTTTGTTCAATTATTCGATATTATGTGTAAAATCTCTTACTCACAAGTGGAAATATCATTACGTCATTTTACCGTAGAAAGTTATACCATGTCGTATTGCATCGCAGATAGATTGTCGATCTCCCGTGAAATTGCAGATTATCCCAAGGCTTGCGTCGACATGTGAAAACAATTCTCATATATTCGATACAAGAAACGCTACAAGAAACGATAATACTTAATGAATAAAAAGCAATGTATACAGGCTGATTCACGAACAATACGATTAACTTCAGTAGCTTATTCCTCAGATTACAAGCCTTAAAAAAAATACAAACACGTACACGTAAATTTGATCAGGCATTTTGATCAGGATCCATATTATTGTTAAATAAATGTTTAAAATACATGTGTTTATATATATATATATATATATTTGAATGTAAATAGTATATTTAAATGAAACGCTACGCGCGTAACTTAATAGATATTATCTATCTGTGTGTAAGAAGAAATATTTGGTAACTTATTTGTGGAATATAAAGTTTATTTCTATCAATTAAGTTTATTTTTGTTGAATAAAACTTATTTTTATGAATAAATTTTATATCCCGCAAATAAATTTTAAAACTTTTTTGTTCCTAGTATAGATTCTAGATTTCTGTATAGATGCTTTGTGATGTTTATTCTATGTCCTTCTCTGCATTAATACATTTTTTCTCTAAGCTTCGTCCAAAATTTGAAATTATTTCTCGTAGGAACTTAGATAATTAGTTAATTAACACACGCAGCCATACATATATTAGTTTATTAACATATTAGTATTAGTTTGTTGACATATATACATCATGTCAAACATCATATACATGCTAGTTTATTAACATATATATATGTCACATGTCATGCGTCATATACATATTAGTTTATTAACATATATACGTCATGAGTCACTCTGTGAAGTTTCAGCCATGTCGGTAATTTTCCTCGATTTCCTCGAGCAAGATCGGTGAACCTGAGAGGCGTGCCTCGGGCGCATTAGCTATTTGTGCAAGCACCGGTAAGCAGTAAAAATGAAAGTTGTGCCGTCGACGGCGAACTGAACGCTGGCACGTTCACAATTGCAACGACGGGACGGTGCATCGATACGCGAAGCGTGAAGGCCACGAAAGTGGACCGTCCGTCTTCCTTATCCGGAGAAATGCTTTCCTCGCTTTGGAGAGGTTATTGAAACTCCCCTCCATGTGAAATCTGGAAGAAAGAAGCACGGTAACGCGATACGCTACTTCGAGTCTAAATGACGTAGATCTTCGTTCGATAAACAATTCACCTTGTACCGTCATGCGTCGATGATGAAATCCATTTGATCGAATTGTGCTTTCTAATGTCGTGCATTGAATTATCCCCGCAGTCGGTAAGTAGCCAGTCCCTTTCTAATGAAAGTGCACGAATTTCGTTAACAAACGTTACATGTTACAAGGTGCATTTCTTTTTCTTTTCTCACGAGGACCGCGAAGTCTTGTAGAAATTATCTTAACGCGTGCCTGAAGATTATGAGATTAATCCGATGAGAAGTTTTCTGCGTAGCGCTATCGACTTGTGGCGTGAGATCTACGATTCGATCGTATTCTTCTCTCGCGACGCTGCATTTCTGCGCGAAGCTGGAAGTATCACTTTCTAATGTCTCACACATTAGATATCTTCGTTCAATAGAAAGCGAAAAACCGTTCGCACGACTTTCCATTTGCTCTAATAACGCGGGACTCGCTAACTATCGTCTCCCGTGCAATTAACGATCACGCGTCGCGCAAAACTCCTTCCTTCCTGTGAGACGTAAACTTGCGTTAGCGACTTTATCGCATTTCCCTGGCACGCTCAAACCCACCTTTTACGGCCGGAAGTTCCGGCGGTTTCGCGAGCTGAAATAATAAAGAAAAGTTTACGCAACGAAGCGAGAAGTGAATGATCTTCATGATGCGAGGGAAGCGGAAACAATTTATTTCGTGTAAAATATTAAATACATTTTTCGCACTACCACATGATTAAGTATTCCACCTGTCATACAAAAATCTAGTCAAACGCAATTCATCAAAGTAGAAGATTGATCGAGAAGAAAACTGCCAGATCAAATTCGCGCAACTTCTCTCTCTCTCTCTCTCTCTCTCTCTCTCTCTCTCTCTCTCTCTCTCTCTCTC